GAGGCATTAAATGACAATACACCCTTTTATCTTTAAAGTTTTTAACACAATTTTTTTATTTTATTTTATTTTATTTATTATCCATCCACATTCCAGATGTCACCCATTAAGATCTTTATTTAGCCAAATAGAGGCACTGGATAAAAATAAAATTAGAGAAAACAATCAACTGAAAGAAAATAAGCTTTAAATAGCTCTTTTCCTTAAATAGTACAGTGACATTTTTAAGTTATTAAATATTCAAATGTATGCAAACTGGCCTAACTGTGAAGGTCTATAAAAGATGGATTTCCAAAGTTAGAGTAATTAAAATAATAGCTAAATACTTTGGATTAGATTGAATGAGTCCCTTAATGTTACTGAGAAGTAGAATCTCACTTTTTTAAAATTAAAGAGTACAATGACTCATCTCTGTTTTCCCCAGCTATACCCTCTTCAAAGACCTCACTGCTCTCTCAAGCCTCATTTATGGGAGATAAATACCCACATCAAATATAGCCCAATGCTAAAGCAGCTGTTCTAGCAACAGATGCCAAACTTCAGTTTTACAGTGTTGCAGGGACCAACCAAAAAGATGAAACAATCACATAAAAAGAGCAAAACTGGGCCGGCCGAGTGGTGCGATGGTTAAGAACTGGCTTGGCACCCCAGAGGGCCCCGGTTTGGATCCCACATATGAGGGCCAGTGACACTGCCCTCTACAGCTAAGATGCTGAACAACAGCTCAACCTGGAGCTGGGCTGCTGTGGGTCGCCGGAAACGGCGTGGGCTGCAGCCCCTGTGGCAGTGGGTTGCCATGGGCTACTGTATGTAGCCAGCAGCCAACGTGAGCAGCCAGCAGCCGCAGTGAGCGGCCGTCCAGAAGCCGGCGACTGATCTGCCTCACCAGGGAAGAGCGCAATGATGGTGCCAACTTGGGCCAGTGAAGCAACGTCCTCCACAACTAGACTGAAGAACAAAATGACAGCAACTTGTCTGTTCCCCTTCCCCCAATTCCCCAGCACTGTTCCCATCCCCCCAATTCCCCAATAAAAAAAAATCTTTAAAAAAAAAAAGAGCAAAATTAAAGAGCAAAACTAAAAACTAAAGGCTCAAGTTTATCAGCCACCAATGAACCAGGTGTGACCCAAAGATATATAAAATACCAAGGCTTGCCAAGAATCATAAAGACACAGTTAGATGACTCATTTGTTCCCTGTGGCCTGCTCAGGTAAATATACAAACAGATGCTTATGAATTCAACTGACAATGAATTAAAATATTCTGACAATCTGGAGGCCAGGAATTAGGCCTAAAGGGGCAGACTACTGGCCCCAAACCACTCTAGACAAGGTTTAAAAGTGTTTGATTCATATGAGATGAATGATTTTTAGAAGAGATCTTAGAGATGATAACGCCTTGTAGTTTCAGCCCATTTTTCCATCAAAATCACCTAGAAATCGTCTCAAAACTACAGATGCCCTAATTATCTCTGGAGGTGAGGCCCAGCCATGTATTTCAAAGCTCCCAGGTGATCCTGATGCAGCTAAGGTGAAACCACTGAGCTAGTCATTAACAGCTACTGAGAAATGAATGCATATCAAGATGGATTTTAAAAATAATTTTAGCCTTAAAAGAACACCCCAAGAGGCAAAACTATTTACCATAATTTCTAAGTATCTTTTGGAAAAGTAGGTCTGGAATGCCAAACAATCCTTTTATTTAGCTGTATGAAGTCACATTTGAAACCCAAATTCTTGTTTTCTGTTTTCACATGCAAATATTTATATAGCTCCCTTTGGTGTAATATTCAACCAACACTTATTGAGCATCTCGATGCATTCTTTTTAGGCACTGACACTAAATAGGATTAATAAGCCTTGGTCTCTATCCCCACAGAGCATGTAGTCTGGTAGAAAAGAGAGATATGTAAACATATCAATCCAACATAACGGTAAAAAAAACTGCATTAGAGAAATAAATAAATGAAGCATATTGAGATCAAAAAGGCTGAGCAATCAAACTTATGTAAAATAAATAAACCTAGCAACCCATAGTGTTATTATCTGTGGGCTAACCTCATAGGCAAGTAGAATAAAAAAGAGGAAAAGGCATTTAAAAGGGAGAATGGGGCAAGATGGGAGTTTGTCAGACACAAATAGATTAGGAGATAAGAAGTAAATGTAGTTTCAGGGAGTGGCCAAGTGTCAAAATATCTACAAATTATTGGAATTATTTTATAAGTGGTAGTTTGACTGCTAAAAAAAAACACCTCTGAAAACTAACTTTAGAACAAGATATCTAGGTTCAATGTTGAGCACTGTGTGCATAGATATTTCTAATGACTTTTTGCAATTAAACCTTCTTCTGGATTAAAATCCACAGCTAAGGTTTCTGTGAATATCCCAAGCCTTTAAGGCAGTGGGTCTCAACCTTCCTAATGCCGCGACCCCTTAATACAGTTCCTCATGTTGTGGTGACCCCCAACCATAAAATTATTTTCGTTGCTACTCTATAACTGTA